ACGTGACCCTGCATGCTGCGGGGATCGTGGGTTTCCCAGTGCTGGCACTGGGATTTCTTTGGTTTTTCAAAGCAGCCGCTGTGGATTTGGACTGGGATGGGCTGTTCCCTTCCCGGAGCGCTGTGTGAGTTGGGCACTGGTTAGGGAGGCCTCCTGGTTAGATGGGTTAGATACGGGCAGCCTCAGGGTGCGGTTAGGGCGCTGAACGGGGCAGGGACTGCTTTCCTCTCAGCATCCTCAGCCAGAGCCATAGCCTGGTGTAAGGGCCGTGTTCGAACCCTCTTCTGAACAGCTGAGCCTAAAGCCTGGGCGTGCGCCGACGCGCTGGGCATGGCGCCCTTTCGCCGCGGACGAGAGCTCCTTGGAGGCTCCCGCGTGCTGACTTGGGGATGAACCGCTGTAAGGGATTGCACGTGAGCAGAACGTTGGTTCTTCAGAAAAGCTGTCGTGGATTTTCAGAATAATTGTATGGGATTTTCGACTTGTTAAGAAATTTTGTATCTCTGTTTAAAGATCGAAGAAAAGTACTGGGCTTTTTTAATTCTCTAAATAGTAATTGGTATTGCCAGCACTGATAAACTAAAAGATGCCTTCTTATCATCAGTTCAGCGAGTTCTGTACTGCTCCTTTTAAAGCTTGTCGCAGTGCTGGGTAAGCCCACCTCAGAGAAGAAAACTGCGATCTAATAAAAATATATTGGATGATACAAGTGGTTTAAAAACACTCTTGATGTTAAATTGTCTTTACAAGTCAGTGGTTTAAAGATGTTCTCCTGTATTGTTCAGGAATTTAGGTGGCCTGTTCACACTGTTTTTAAAGCAAATTCTGGCCTGATTTCAGACTTTAAAACAATATTCCAAAAGAGATGCAGCTATTGGACATCTGGTTAAAATTGCCTGTAAGACATGGCAGAATTGGTTGCATATCTTTAAGATTATTTTTTTTCTGTAAGGACTGGAAAATGCAGTAATATTGACTATTATTAAGCCATGTATTGTTCCCTTTCATCATAAATAATTGGTTATCCCTGAAGATGTCACCACTGGAATGGGACAGAAGGTGGGTTTTTAAGCTATGTTTTGTTTTCTTTTTTTTTTTTTCCTTGAAAAACTGTGTTTTGCCATCATCCAGACTTCAGCTGCCTGCTCTTTTGCCCTCCCTGAAGTACTTACCCCAGGTCTGTGGTGATCTGTAGTAGTGTGCTTGCACCTTGGTCCGTTGGTAGTTCACCACATCTCCACCTGCCAAAGGGCTGCTGGGAATACCCTGAAGAACCACCATTTCTTGTAGGGACCAAAGACCTTCAAAGTTTCCTTGAGCTGCCCAGCTCTGTGTGTGTTGTGTCGGGTGTTCTGCATGATACCTGTGATGACATAGTGTTGGCTTCGGGAAGTGTTTGGGTGGTTTTTAAATGTGGGCAGAAGTAGTATTTTGCAAACAGTTTTGACCTGAGCACATGGTATATGTTAGTTTCCTGTTGGAGAAAGTAGTCTTAATCTTTCAGGTAGGCCACTTTAAACTCGAGTCTTCGTACAGCCCATGCACCAAGAACTTGCCTTCACCCTTTGTTCCACAGCACGCTATTACCTAAAAATGTTGTTCTCAGCCAGCAGTATTTAATAATAAGTGTTCTCTTGAGTTCCAGTTCTGTCAGACAACAAAAACCCAGGGTGTTACGCCACTGGCACTATCTTACATATCTTGAGTATAATAACTCTGGAGACTATTATGACAAGGTGTTGTGTGTGAGAAATGCGGTGCTAGTGAACTTTGGGAAGTTTCTCTCTCTCATATGATCGTTAGAGGATGACTCCTCATAGTGAGGAAGCACAGAAGAAAAAAAAGAAGAAGAAAGCTGCAGGTGGTCTTCAGGCTTCGTAACAGTGGTCAAGTCAAGTGATGTCTTCCCAGTTTTCTGTGGAGGAGAGAACCTGTCCTGGCAGCTAACATGCTGTGCATCTAAATGTGGAGTCTTTACCATGATGTCAGATTTTGGTTCTTTTTTTTTTCTTCTGGTATGTGCACATGGTGGGTTAGTCGAACTCCAGGGGCAGGAGGAGAAATATCAATATAAATACAAAAGTGTTTAGTACGCTGAGAACTGTGAAAATGATCTCTATCTTCTTTGTAAAGGGAATTAGGACATTGACAGCCTAGGTGGAGACCTTGAGGGCAGGCAGAAGTGGTTCAGAAATGCCTTATTTCACTGCTGGAGTTCACCCAAAGCCTTTGTATCTAGCATCTTTTTCCTGACTTAGATAGATACATAAAATAAAGTTAGGACAGTCTTGTTGGAGAACTACAGAGGTGTAGGTTTATGGGCATTGAGGGGAAACTCAATAGCAGTGAAAGATGGCAAGTGGAATATTAAGGAACAGATAAGAAAATCCTTTAAAAGACTAAGCAACCACTGGGCTACAAGAGAAGACAAATTACGGGGTGTA